TGGTAGTTGACTCCCGACACCCAAATCGCAACCGTCTCCGCAAGCATCAATGGACGCGCTCGGCTGCGTTTTGATTTTCTGGCCTCGTTCTGTCACGGTCTGACGCCAAAACAGCAATGCGCTCAGACTCAGAAGAGCGCAAGCAAGAGAACAGCAACGCGCGACAGGTGCTCCGCAGAGAGGACATCTCCTAGTTTCCACAGTGCGTGGCTAGGCTTTACATTACACAGACGTGAGTGTCACAGGAGCTTCAGCTCCAACTAATTATGCCAGTGCTGCGCAGGAAAAGTACCCAGTGAGGTGCGGAGATCCATGGAAAGCGCTCCCAGTCCAGATACCCTGCATGGACTAGTGCAGAAAGGCACCGGCGAAGGACGCCGCAACTGCTGAAAGATCTGGAAAAAAAACGAATTCCTCGGCCGAACAGACTCATAACTTCAGCCTATTCCGAGCAGACATCTCCCAACTTTCTGAACTTGAGCAACCATGCAGCCGGCGAAACAGCGTGAAAAAACTAGCTGCGTCTTGCGCCCCTCGCGCGTTGAGCTTCTGCAGCAAGCGAAATGCGAGTTCGGCAAGTAAACAAGGCCGTCATGAAGGATCAAGAGCAGCTTTCGCATGCAGCTAGTCAATCCTTTTACATATGTATCCTTGTGGCCTCGAGCGCTCGTTAAGTGTTCATGCTCGCAAAGAATAGCCGTTTTCAGTGGTGCTTCATGAACTGCACATCCCATTGCCACACATCCTAGCCAAGTGCGTGTGTTGCCAACACAGTTCAGTCGGTTACCAAATTTCGATTCAAGCTTTGTTATTCTTCCACAGCATGGCGCGCGACTCAACTGCACCACAAACACGCTACGCGTAAACGAAAAAGTGTCGCGCGCCCGCGCCCGCACCCAAGCCCAAACCCACACCTGCACCCACTCACACCCATACCAACACTTGCGTTGTGGTTGGATGGAGGCCAGAGTTTTTATCCAAAAGCGCTGTCTTCAGCGCAGTGGTTCATTGACAGGGCGCTGGGCAGATCTCACTTCGCTCAGTCCTCACAGTCTTCCCACTTTTTGCCGCAAAGTCAAGTTATGATTTCACGTATGTTTGCGATGCCGTGTCCTAACCCCTTGAACCCTAAACCTCTTGAGAAATCTAGGAAGAACACCTGCAGACCCCCGGGCACTCCACCCCAAGTGCGAAAATTTTTAGATTTTAGACCTTAAACCCTACCTCCCTAAACCCGAAAGAAAACCCTGCAAGCCCAAAACCCCTAAATCCCTCAGCCCTAAAAGCCTACAAGCCCCTCAATCCCAAAGCCCTGCAACCTTACAAGCCCTAACCCTACAACCCTATAAGCCCTACAAGCGCCCTAAATCCCTTGGTAGCCCAGTGGTACCTTTTTGCCTTTTTTGTTGCTAGGTTGCCTTATACAGTAGCTAGTCACCAAGAAGGGTTCCCTTGTATTATTTATGGTTGCTGGGCTACAGATCATCACCCTATCCCTAAACTCCTAAACCTTACATATAAGCCCTCCAGGAGCGCCCTCAGCCCTGAACCCTAAACCCTAAACCTCGAACCCCTAAACCGTAAACCCTAAACCCTGAACCCTAAACCCTAAACCCTAAGCCCTAAGCCCTAAACCCTAAACCCTAAGCCCTAAACCCTAAACCCTAAACCCTAAACTGACTTTGGGGGAACCCGAGGATGCCTGGCGTAATCTCCGGCATCCGCGAATGGTTCCGCTGGCCTCCTGGGGGCGATTTTATCAGGGGCCCAGGGGTTTAGGGTTTAGGGTTTAGGGTTTAGGGTTTAGGGTTTAGGGTTTAGGGTTTAGGGTTTAGGGTTTGGGGGCGAATTTACCCTGAGCCCCGGAACTTCGGGATGCATGGGAATATATGTTTCATTTTCGGGTATTATCATTCCCAAGAAACAGCTAAACTTGTAGTTTTCGCTAGGGTGCCAAGTTCAGTATAGCCAAGCCCTAAGCCGGCTTTTGGGTTTTCTCTTTTGGTGTGCGTGTGGGTGGGTTTAGGGCCTTAGGGTCTAGGGAGGGTGTAAACCTTGGGGTTAGGGGTGTGGGATTTAAGGTTTCGGGTTCCGGGTTCATTGTTGAATTCCTAAGTAGCCTTAAATATGGGGTGGGGGGGGGGGGGGGGGGGGGGGGGGGGGTAGTATAGAGGGGGTAGTAGGGCAAACCCATGATAAGGGTTTAGGGTTTAGGGTTTAGGGTGGACCTGAATTATATACTACCGGACCCCTAAGCTGTAAGACGCAGCCCCTACAGGGACCAAGGCAAAGCGCACCCCCCCAACAAGACCCTGGATCCTGTAGGGGTTTAGGGTCGAGTTTTAGGGTTTAGGGTTTAGGGCTTAGGGCTTAAGGTATAGGGTTTAGACTTTAGGACTTAGGCTTTAGGGTGGATTTCTGATTGCCCCTGGGTACCCAGTTCGGAGATGTCATGCATATCTCCTAGCACTTAATCGTTCACCTCTGGCCGCAAATGGGTATTTGTTGTGGTGGTTTGAGGGACAATCCTTATATTCCCGCTTCAGCTGATGCCCCCTTGGAGCCCCATTCAACCAATATCCCTAAACCTTAAGCCCGATAAGCACAAGCTCTGGGCCCTTGTTTGCTCCTAGGATTTGGGTTTAGGGTTTAGGGTTTAGGGTTTAGGGTTTAGGGTTTAGGGTTTAGGGTTTAGGGTTTAGGGTTTAGGATTTAGGGTTTAATTAGGGTTTAGGGTTTAGGGTTTAGGGTTTAGGGTTTAGGGTCAGGAGTTAAGGGTCTGTAGGGCTGGGCAAGTTGGAATTTAGGGTTTTGTTTGGGGGGTTCTGGATCCATGTTACAGAAACCTAAACCCTAAAGCCCAGATCCTAAACGCTGTGTCATCGCAGAGTTTTGCGTCTCAGGGGCTGGGGGTTTCTTGGATTTGGGGTGCGGAGATGGCAGTTGGCGTCCTAAACCCCGGACACGCCAAGCTGGCCCAGGAAGCCTGCGGTGTGTGTACGGCTTAGGGTTTATACAGGGTTAGGGTTTGGGGTTTATGCAGGGTTTAGGGTGTCAGGATTCGAAGTTTAGAATGCTGGGTTAAACGTTGCGGTTTAGGGTGATCCCAGGTACAAGACGCCCGACGGGAAGCCTCTGAAGCTGGGTTCTGCACAGAGCCGGGGAAGGGGGGGGGGGGGAAGGGGGGTGGGGGGTTGTAGGGTTTGGGGTTTAGGGTTTAGGGTTAGGGTGCAAAATTGTACCGCCTAATCTAGGTCATGCAGTTGTATAGTGTACAGTGTATATATGCCGATGCATCTAACTCTCAAGATTCCCAGTTGAGCGTAGAAAAGAGATTTTCATGGTAGCGTGGAGCCATAGCGAAAAGGGGCACACAAGGAAAGTCACTGGGAAAGGAGGAAAGGGCAGGAGTACACAGCCCCGGAAGAAGGGCGTCAGGAGCGCTGAGGCGCTGGAACGGCGCAAGGGCCGCAAAGTGTGGGCTGCTGACAAGGGGCTACCAGGTTCGCGTAGGCTGGACCAGACACCAGCTGAACCTGAGGGTCCGCCGCCGTGGAAGCGGCAGTGCGTGCCAGGCACACCGCCTGAAGCCTTCGACGTGAACTACGTGAAACCCCCTCAAACACCCCCGGAGGGTAGAACTATAGAGGGGACCTCTCCGGGAACACCGGAAGAAGCGTTCAAGGATCAGGGGTTGGAGCAGCCGAAGACGCCAAGCATTGTCCTTACGCCTGAGGAGGAACCTTCAAGTGATAGCTCCTTGCTGTCGGTGGTGCCAAGGGACAGGGCCGAGCCGAAAGCGAGGTCAAGAAGCCGGTCTAGGTCGAGCTGCAGCTCGGCTCCCCGTGAAGGGGAAGAGTCGGTGCCATCCGCACCATCGGTGCCTGTGAGAAGAGAGGCTAGGGTAGCAGCTATCTTGGCAGCAGGTGCGGCGGAGGCTCGCGCGAAGGCAAAGGCCAGAGCGGCAGGTACAGCTATCTATCGCCGCCGCAACCGTGGGTTGGTAATTGTTCCTGAGCCTGCAGTGCAACCAGAGGCGGCAGTACCTACCATCGCCGCGCTTGAGGCAGCGCCCAAAGCAGAGCCCAAGTCGAAAGGTAAGCAAAAGGGAAAAGGCCGAGGCTTGGGTGTTTGGACCGCTGCAGAGGAGGACCGGCGGGTGCGAGAAGGGTGGACACACAAGGCGTCCTTGGACACGCGACTCCAGCACCTGGCGTTGAGGCAGTACTGGGCTGGAATAGACGCCGGTAAGCCTGAGACCCGGAAGGGAGGAGCACCCTTGACCCCAACAACGAACTACCAGATTCGAAGGTTGGCGTTTGGCTGGATCACCAAGGTAACCGCGGGATCTGTTGGGTTGTCCTTGCAAAGGGCGCTTGCAGGCCGAGCCGCGAGCGGCACGGCAGGTGGAGCCTGCAGCAGCTGCGACGAGCGGGAGTTGCGTGCGAGAAGAGCAGCCGTAGCATTCACAACCAGGGTCGAGGCTAAGGCCAAACCCAACTTTGTGTATAGAAGGCCCTCAGGACAGTTGAGGAGCAGCTCTGAGGAGGAAGGCTCCGAGGAGTGCGAGGGAGAGGCCGAGTGATCGGCCCTTCTTCGAGAAGAGAAACGCATTTTTGAACGCCGCTGCCCGAGAGAGAAAAAGGGGAAGGGTAGGCGGCAGGGTTTGAGTTTAGCCTAGACCAAATAGGGTTCTTTTCCGTCGTTGACGTAGAAAACACAAGATGGACGCAACACAGGTGCAACAGCTACAGCAGACAATCGCAGCAATGCAGGCAGAGATAACGGCGCTAAGGGCACAGCAACAACAGGCAGAACAGGGGCAAGCAGGAGTAGCAGCCCTAGCTCAGTCTGTAGCAGAGCTAGCCCAAACGATGAGGGTTAGGGAAAAGGGACCTGACTCCACAAGAATTCTGTTCGATACCAAAGCCCTAGGTAGACCCGAGCGGTTCAACAATGTGGAAGATGAGTTCCGTAGATGGAGTCGGTCGGTCGTCAATATGTTGGCGTCTGTGTTTGGAAGAAAGTTTGAAGAGGTACTTGAGTGGGCACAAGAGCAAGAAGACGAAGTCAAAGACACAGATGTAGACCTGCAGTTTGGTAACAGCCCAGCCCCCGCTAGCCCCGGTGGCACAGTAACAGCAGCCGCAGACACCGTAGAAGACATCCCGGAAAAGGGTGACCAAGTATGGCGGCTACTCCAGCACCTGTGCACGGGAGAATCCGAGGGCATAGTGGTGAACTCTGGTGGTGGTTTTGAGGCCTGGAGACGCCTGCACCGGCGGTTCGACCCGCTGTCGGCAGGCCGCAAGAGGAACCTCTTGAGGGCCATTCTGTCACCAGTGAGAGTCAAGGGTTGGGAGCATGTTAGACAAGCTATAGACCAACTAGACGACCTGATAAGAAGATACGAAGCCCGAAAGAATGATGCAGGCGTGAGAGAAAAGTTGAGTGACGACTTGAAGAGTACAGCCCTAGAGTTGCTAGTTCCTACAGACTTAGAGCAGCATCTTATCCTCAACAAGGCTAGGTTAAACACCTACGAAGATATGAAGGGGGAGATACAGCAGTTGGTTGAGGTTAAGACGAAAGGGACGGTAGAACAACCGGGGAAAATCCCAGCGTCATCGTCCCAAGGACCAGCGCCAATGGAGGTTGATGCCTTAACCCAAGCCATAAGCTCCCTCATGAAGGGGAAGGGGAAAGGTAAAGACCCTAAAGGTAAAGGTAAAGGTAAGGGTGGCAAAGATGGCTCAAACAGAAAGGCTCAAGCCAAGAATGGCTCTGTACAGAAGTTCCAAGGCAACTGTCACAACTGTGGCAAGCCTGGCCATAAAGCCGCCGACTGTTGGTCAAAGCTCAAGTTGGGAAACACGGACTCAAAGAACAAGGGCAAGCCCAAGGACAAGGGCAAAGGCAAAGGCAAAGGAAAGCACGCTGGATCCCTAGAAGAGGGAGAGGCAGAAGAACCAGCTCAGGAAGATGAGCTGGGTGCAGTTGAACTTTGCGCTGTAGAAACCGCCTCCCAAGGCGGGCGGTGGATGAAGTTTAACTACGACACAGGGGCGGCCCGGACAGCAATCCCTCAGGACTGGGAGAGTAAGGGTTCGCCTGCTGAAGGCCCAGAGCTGACCTTCAAGACCGCAAGTGGGGAACTGATCACCAGCAAAGGTGCATGCAAAATCTCCGGCAGAGACGAGAATGGCCGGATGAAGGGGATCACTGGGTCCCTGGCCCCGGTGCACAAACCGCTGGTGTCAGCCTACAAGTGTGCGAAACAAGGCTATGTGGGTGTGATCCAAGAGGATGAAGGGCACCTCATACCCCGCGCAAGCCCGTTAGGCCGAAAGATAGAAAAGCTGGTAAAACATGCGAGCGCCGAGGAAAAGAAGGGTACGATACCCCTCTACCAGGAGGGAGGTGTCTACAACTTCTACTTGGAAGCAAACGCAGTCGAGGCGGCCAAGGCCGCAACGTCGGGTTTCAGCGGGCAGCTGAAAGCGTAAGTCCCACTGGGACGCCAGAAGCCGGGCACCCTTTGTGCGCCGGTGAGGTGGCCGGACCAGAAGCTCCGGCGCAAAGCCCGGAAGGGGAAGAAGAAGGCGAAGTAGAGGTGGCGGCTCCTAAGCAGGTTCGGTCTCCGATAGAACCGACCGCCGCAGAGATAGCTGAGCACGAGGTGCTTGGACATGTCCAATACAGAGAGTGGTGTCGCCACTGCGTGGCTGCGAGAGGCATTGGCCAGCAGCACCGCAGCCGGGAGCAACGTGAGCGTCAGAACGACGGACTTCCAACGGTGGCGTGTGACTACTGTTTTATGGGACAAGACGATGGCAAGGTGAAACCAATCCTGGTCATCAAAGATTCGAAGACGCAAGCAATAGCTGCGACTTTTGTGGAAGCCAAGGGAACAGACCCCTACGCCATCAAGTTTTGGCAGGGCTTTGTCAAGCACCTTGGTTACAAGAAGTTCATTGCGAAAAGTGATGGAGAACCAGCCATAAAGGCTATGAAGGCGAAGGCCATAGATGGCCTGAAGGGGATTGAAGCAATATCCCAAGAGACTCCCGAGGGAGACCACCAGGCCAACGGCCTGGCAGAGGTAGCTGTGAGAGAAGTGAAAAGGCAAGTACGGGTCATGAAGAGCTCTCTGGAGGAGAAGCTCGGGATCACGCTAAGTGACGAGGACCCAGTCCTTGCATGGCTGCCGAGACACGGAGCAGACTTGCTCACGAGGTATAGGAAGGGAGAAGACGGCAGGACGCCCGAGCAGCGCCGGTCAGGGAAGGCCTGGAGACGGCCAGCCTTAGAGCTGGGTGAAAGGCTTTTCTACCGTGAAGCGGTCGCCGCGGAATCCAACAAGAATGATCTCCACATGAAGATGTTGGAGGGCAGGTACATAGGACACCATGGCGGGACCGGAGCGTTGCTGGTCATCACACCCAATGGTGTGAAGAGGGCGCAAGGAGTGAGACGTTTACCGCCTGAGCAGAGATGGGACGCTCAGGGATGGACAAGCCTCAGAGGCTATCCTTGGGATGTAGCCCACAGAGCTGGTAGGAGCCACAGGCTCAACGGAGAAGGCCCGCTTCCAGTGCAGGGCCCGGCACCAGTGTTGGCGCCGCCAGTCCAAAGGAGACTGTACATTCTGAAAGCGGATGTAGAGCGCCTGGGACCAACCCCAGGCTGCCCCGGGTGTACATGCGTACTCCTGGGAGAGTCGACGCAGGTCAACCACACAGAGGCCTGCAGAGCCAGAATGATGGAGCTTCTAGCTCAAGACGAGAGGGGAAAGGCCAGAATTGAGGCACACGAGTTGCGCCAGAGACGAAGGCCAGAGCCCCCAGAGAGGGAAGAAGAGCTCCGAGTAGCTGATGCGGTAGGTGAACCGGAGGCTTCAGGCGTGCCTGAGGCAGGAGGGAGAAAGAAAAAGAGGGGCACGAGTAGCCCGGGGTCACCCGGGACTCTGCCGGTAGGAAAGCAGACGCCGCAGAAGCGAGGAGCTGAGAGTAGACCAACAGAGTTGGAAGAAGACGGCAAAGCCGATGTCAGCAGATGAAAGGGCTCGAAGAGCCTACTACGACCTTGACGAACCACCGCCCGCGCAAAGTGAACCGAGCGCGGCAAGTGGAATCAAAAGAACGGCCGAGGAGCCGCCTGAAAGCTTAGACCCTAGAGCAACAAGCTCAGGAGATGTAGAAGAACTGGTGTCGCAGCCAGTGGTACAGCAGCAGGCTGAAGAACAGCCGCCGCAAAGCATGCAAGCGCTGAGTTCTCTCAAACGAGAAACTGCACTGTTAGTGCAAGGCATGGTTCGGAACAAGTATAGGGCAGAGCAAGTAGACGTCACCGAACAGGAGGTGATGGATATCGCATCCTTGTGCACAGCCATGGGAGCCGTGGATGTGATGGAAATCTACAGCCCAAAACGGTTTACGGAACACGCGCCGCGACTGGGCCTTTTGCCTGGATATGCGGTAGACTTGTGTGAGACCAAGCCCAACAGTGAAGAGCATTGGGACCTGTCTAGAGAAGAAGACAGGAAAGAACTAGAGGAGCTGATTGATGCAGAAGAACCCCGGCTGTTGACCGGAGGCCCGCCGTGCGAAGCCTTCTCGAGGCTTCAAGCACTCAACCAGAAGCGGGTGTCACCAGAGGTGAGAAAGAAAAGAAGAGAGCAGGGAGAGCAACACCTGCACTTGAGCATTAAGATGTACCGAAAGCAGATGGAAAAGGGAAGGTACTTCCTACACGAGCATCCGTGGAGCGCGGACTCATGGTACGACGAGGAAGTCAAAGCCCTCGCAGAGGATGAAAGAGTTTACGTGGTAAAAGGCCCCATGTGTAAATGGGAGATGAAGGCCAACGACGTGGCAGGAAACGAAGGATATGTGAGAAAGGAAACCGGCTGGATGACAAACAGTCCAGTGTTGGCCGAAATCCTTCAGGGAGAGTGCAGCAACAAGCAGGGAGGACTGTGGCATAGGCATGTCCGCCTTATAGGTGGAATCGCCCGAGGTGCTGCGGTTTACCCGCCAAAGCTGGTAAATGCTGTACTTAAAGGCTTGAAAGAACAAATGGTTGAAGATGGAAGCCTAAGCGCCGTAGATGCGTATGCGGCAGGACCAGTACCCGAGGAGCCCAGCATGCCTGCTGGCAACTGGTACCAATACTGGGACGACGTGAATGGAGGGTACCTGGACTCCGAAGGAGTCCTCAAAGCTAGACAGCTGGAGATGGAGTACATCCACAAGCAAGGTGTGTGGAAGAGGGTACCTCTGGACCAGTGCATTCAAGAAACAGGCAAGCAACCAATCCCACTGAAGTGGGTAGACACGAACAAAGGGGATCACACGAACCCCAACTTGAGGTCCAGACTGGTCGTGAAAGACATCAAGGCCAGGAAGGGCCCCGAGGACCAGCTAGACCCAGCGATGTTGTTTTCGGCTATGCCCCCGCTAGAAGCGGTGCGCATTCTTACGTCCATGCTTATGAGCAAACAACGCTCGAAGCACGGGAGGCCGTTACGACTTGGGAGCTGGGACATCTCAAGAGCCCATTTCTATGGGACTCCAAAGAGAAACATTTATGTGAAGCTCCCAGAGGAAGAGGGAGCAGGAGAAGGAGAGTGTGGACTGCTATTGAAGTCAATGTACGGAACGCAAGACGCGCCAGCGATATGGCAGGACCACTACACTCAAACTCTGATTCAAGCAGGATGGAAGAGAGGAAGAAGCAATGGTGCAGTCTTCTATCACCCAGTGCTGGATGCCCGTGTCTTAGTACACGGAGACGACTTTCTGTGCTTGGGTGACGAAGCAGCGCAGGAAGCACTAGACAAGACACTCCGAGAAGCCTACGAGCTGAAGCGCACAGGAGAGGTAGGAATCGGAGTTGCAGGAAGCAACCAGATCACTTTCCTCAATCGGGTGATACGGTTGGAGCAACACAGTGGGAGACCCTGCGCCGTGATTGAAGCAGACTCGCGGCATGCAGAACTCCTCATCGAGGAGCTGGGTCTGAACAATGGTAAGGGCGTAGAGACAGCGGATGTTAAGAAGTCTGTGGATCAACAATTGCTGGAAGCTAAGGCAGCTGCACTTCCACCAGAGATGGTGAAGCAGTATAGGTCCTTGGTGATGCGCGCAGCATACTTGGCACAAGATCGTGCAGACATAGGCCATGCGGTCAAGACACTGTCAAGAAAGATGGTAATGCCGACAGACGCTGACTGGGGCAACCTGAAGCGGTTGGCTCGTTATCTCAAGCAGTACCCGTATGCGAAGTTGGTTTATGAACAACAGCGAGAACCAACCAAGCTCCGTATCCAAGTAGCTGCGGACCATGCAGGTGACGCCGTTACGAGACGGAGCACCACGGGTATGATCGCGTTCTATGGCCAGCATCCCATAAAGCACTCGTCAAACGTGCAGTCGACGATTGCCCTATCGACAGGGGAGTCAGAATACTACGCCCTAGTGAAGGCAGGTTCGACTGGACTTGGGATCCAGTCCCTGTTAGAAGATTGGAGCTGCGAGCTGGAGGTTGTCTTGGAGACGGACTCCAACGCAGCCAAAGGCCAAGGGAGCCGGATAGGCCTGGGAAAAGCTCGCCACGTACAAACAAGGTACTTGTGGTTGCAAGAACGCGTGGCAGCAGACCACTTGAGGATCCATAAAGTGCTTGGGGAGAAGAACTGTTCAGATATCCTCACGAAGAGCGTAGGAGGACCAACGCTGAGGAAGCATCTGAAGACACTCGGTGTTCAACTGAGCTCTGAAAAGAGCCGCGGGCACAAGGAACTCCTCTTGTAAAGGTCCCTGGCCAGACTCCGCTACCTAGGCGTGAGAATGAGCCCAATACCAGAGAAGTTTCACTCCGCACATAGCAGAAGAGAAAGTATAGTGCTTAGAAGGCATTTCTGCGCACTAGAAGGGGTGCAAAATTGTACCGCCTAATCTAGGTCATGCAGTTGTATAGTGTACAGTGTATATATGCCGATGCATCTAACTCTCAAGATTCCCAGTTGAGCGTAGAAAAGAGATTTTCATAGGGTTTAGGGTGTAAGTTTAGGGTTTAGGGTCAGGGTTTAGGGGTTAGGGTTTAGGGTTTAGGGTTTAGGGTTCAGGGTTTAGGGTTTAGGGTTTAGGGTTTAGGGTTTAGTGTTTAGGGCTCTATACATGGATCGGCGTGTTTTGGGGATACTCGTACTTAACAACACACCCTGAGCCCCAGACCCGGCATGTATGCCCATAGAGAAGGCTCCAAGCCCTAAACTCACTGGTTCTCCGTAGTTTGAGGGCCTAATTCCCCAAACCCTAAACCCCAAACCCCAAACCCCAAACCCCAAACCCTAAACCCTAAACCTTAAACCCTAAACCCTATAACCCCTAAACCCTAAACCCCAAACCCTAAACCCTAAACCCTAAACCCTATCAAGAAAACTCGGCCCAGAACCCACAACCCTGCGCCCAGGAACGAGTTCGGCTTCGATGAGGCCCCCTTGGACCAGACGGCAGCTCTGAAGGCGCGCGCAGGGACTGGGGTTTAGGGTTTAGTTTAGGGTTTAGGGTTTGGGGTTTAGGGTTTAGGGTTTAGGGTTTAGGGTTACGGGTTACCGTTTGGGGTTCTGTTGTAGGGGGTCCCAAATTTTCGACTCCTTCTTCCCTGGAATCTCGCATTCCACGTTTCCCTTCCGCACTTTCAACCTTTGGTTTAGGGTGTAGGGTTAAGGGTTTAGGGTTTAGGTTTAGGGCTTAGGGTTTAGGGTTTTGGGACAAAAGGGAAGGGCGCACCTCCGGATTTTGGGATCTTTGCAGGTCGGGCGGTGCAGGTCGCGGATCTTGGGGTCCCCATAAAATCAGGACCCCCATCGCAGCCCTATGACAGTCACAGATTGGGATGTTCCCCACAGTCCTCAATAGGGATTATAATGGGGGGGGGGGGGGTATTATCATCCCGTAAAACAATTAGTACAATTGGGGGACATCCCAAGTCAAAGTGCCCATATTCTCTTAAAGCCTAAAGCCTAAACCCAAATTGAAGCTCGTCTTGAATTGTCTTTCAACCGTCGCTTCATTTGGGTTGTCCCTTTTGGGGTAAGGATGTCTAGAACATTTGTTCCGCCAATGCCCTCAACTGCCCTAAACCCTCAAATCCTAAACCCTAAACCCTCAACCCTCAAACCCTATACCCGAAAGGTCTGAGAACCCTTAACCGCTAAACTACCGGGATTCTTTGTGGCCATATGGAGGGTTTCCGAAATCAGGGGTAGCCTTTTTAGGGGTTCCCTTTAAGGGGATTCTATTCTAATTTGGGGAAAAAAGGAAACCCTAAACCTCAAACCCTAAACCCTGAACCCTCAACCCTGTAAGGAGGTCTCTCCATTAGCCCCTCAAGCTTCGGAGATCATCAGCGAGACGCACGGCTACTGGAAGCAGCTGCGCGAGTCGAACAGCGGCGAGCTGTGGGTCGGCTGAGAGCGCAAAACCTAAAGTTTTTTTGTTCTTAACAGGGTTCCTAAACCCTAAACCCTAAACCCTAAACCCAAAACCCTAAACTCCCCCAAACCCAGAAGGGCGCGGATGAAGTCGAAGTTCTGCTGGGATGCAGCATTTCGGATACTTTTGAGAGTTTTCCGTGCGCTCGGTCTGCTCCTGGTGACGAATGGCCAGCCCTAAACCCCAAACCCTAAACCCTTATGAGTTTAGGGTTTAGGGTTTAGGGTTTAGGGGTACCCCTCCCCCCCCCCCAGTGGGCCCTAATTCCTTTTGTGTTTCAAGGGAAGGTTCTGATAGCAAAAAGAGGTGCCTGGAGATTCTTGCGGGTAGTTCTCTAAATTCGGCTTTGGGTTTCCTGTTTAGAGGGTGCCATACTATGTCGGTACCTATAAAAAGGGACCCTATTCTTGAGAACAGCCCTGTAGGTTTTGGGTTTAGGGTTCAGGGTCTAGGGTTTAGGGTTTCAGGGTTTGAGCTAGTAAAGCCCAGACCTTCTGAGCGCCTTCGCCAACTACCTGGCCGTCTTCTGCAGACCGAAGCTCCAGATCTGGACGTGCCGAAAGCCACTGGAAGGCGACATGGGGGTTTAGGGTTTAGGGTTTAGGGTTTAGGGTCGTCTTGGAGGAGTTACAAGGGCTCTGAGTGAAGAACCCTGAATTGGAGTGCACTTATCTCAACCCACCAAAAACCTATAGACCCTAAGCCCTAAACCCTAAGCCCTGAACTCCTGAGCCCTCTGAAATGCAGCCCGCCTTATTTTAGGGTTTAGGGTTTACGGTTTAGGGTCCCCCACCCCCCCCCCCCCCAACCCTAAACCCTAAACCCTAAGCCCTAACACCCCCCCCCCCGGATGGAGCTCAGCCCCGTCGCTTCGATTGCGTCGACCTTCTGCATGGGTTCTCTGACGGTTTAAAGTCTTGTTTTTCTGTGTTTTTAGGGTTTCAGGGATGCTTGTTAGTGTTGTCTGGGTCGCTCAGGGCTTTCGAGGGTTTAGGGCTTTTAGTGAATTGAGGGCTTTAGGGTTTCTCGGGCTTGTCGGGCTTTAAGGATTTTGGGGTTTGTTCTGGGTTTTCTCAGAGCCTAGGGCTCAGGGCCTTTAGGCGGGTTAGGGTGTTAGAGAAGGATTTTCTTTTCGAACTTGGCTCGGGGTCAGGGTTTAGGGTCTAGGGTTTAGGGCCTTTAGGGTTTAAGGTTTAGGGTTTGGCGTTTTTTTGGAAGTTTGGACTTCGGGTTTTTGGGCTTAGGCTGAACTGTGCCGTGTCAGCCCAGTCGGCTTCCACCGGCCATTTTCGCGTCCCGCCACCTCTTGCGGACTTGGGCCCTACAAAGCGTTTATAGGGTTTGGGGTTTAGGGCTTAGGGTTTAGGAGGTCGGATTTAGGGTTTAGGGCTTTGAAAAAGTCTCCAGCTTTGTGTCCCAGACTCCATGAGAGAGTCGCCTTTAACCCCGTGGGCCGACACTGACTTGACAGCGGCCACCCGCGTTTTGCTCCGAGGGGAAGGTCTTTAAACCCTAGGCCTTGTAAGACCTACCCCTAAACCCTAAACCCTAAACCTTAGACCCTAGACCCTAAACCCTAAACCCTAAACCAAAAGCCTACCCCAAAAGCAGGTCTTGGGTTCTGGGTAAGAGATGACTAAGGGTTGAGGGTGTTAACCGCTCAAAGTACCTGAACTCTCGACCCTAACGGTCATCCCCCCAAAGTCTGAACTCCAAAACCATCATCCGCCGAGCGCCCCTTGAAATCCCTCAGAGGGTCTTTAAAAGGGTCCCCAAACCCGAAACCAAACCCTAAACCCTAAACCCTACACCCTAAACCCTAAACCCAGTACAACCTTAGGGATCCCAGGTAAACTCCCATGATGTGAAACCCTGAGACCCACCTAAGACCTTAGGGTTTAGGGTTTAGGGCCTACCAATACTCCGAAAATGGTAAGTTGGTATGCGCTTTTGATATTTTATGGTTTCCCTTATATTGGGTTCAAGAGGATCGTACGTAGGAATACTTTCACGAAAGTTTAAAAGGCCATCCGAGGGTAGGAGGTTTAGGGTTTAGGGTTTAGGGTTCAGGGTTGTAGACTTACAGGTGTGACCTTCCTGCTTTGGCCCTCAGATCAAGAGCTTGCATGGGCAAGAAAATCGTGCTTAGCTTTTTGCGGCTTCTGGTTCGGAAGCCAGATAGGGTTCAGAGTTTCAACTTCGGGTTTAGGGTTTGGGGTTTGGGGTTTAGGGTTCAGGTTCAGGGTTTAGGGTTTCGGGTACACGTTTCTAAGGGTCGTACACACCTGTATACCTCCCCCTTTATACCCCCTTACGCTTGTTCTTTGATTGAAGGGCTGTTTCCAGAGTTCCCTTTTCCACCCCTTATTCCCCCCCCCCCCCCCCCCCCCCCCCCTTTATACTCTCCTTATACCCCCCTTGTACCCCCCCCCCCCCCCCCCAAAACCCTAAACTCTAAACCCTAAATCCTAAACTTCTACCCCTCCCCTCATACCCCGCTTTTCCCCCGGCTTGTTTTTTTGATGAGGGTCCTGGAGAGCATCTTTCTGGCACCCAAACTGGACGTACAAACAACACGAGCCGCTACAATGAGTCACCTCGAGATCACAGATCAGGCGAACCAACGAATTTAAGGGTTTCGGGTTTAAGGTTTAGTTCAGGGTTTAGGGTTGAGGGTTTAGGCTTTTTGAAGGGTTTAGAGTTTCTGTCAAGTCAAGCAGAACAAGGTTTACTGGTGACTGACGATGTGCTGCTGGTACAACTGCTACGGTGGCTGCATGTGCAGGAGCCCCCTGTCAATCTAAACCCTAAGCCCTAAGCCCTAAGCCCTAAGCCCTAAGCCCTAAACCCTAAACCCTAAACCCCAACCCTCCTACCCTCAATTCCCCCCAAAGCAACAAAACCAGCCCTCGAGTCGCAATGGGCCGCGGGCCGCGCAAGCGCGCGAAGGCCGCGGCCGCCGCGGCCTCCACAGAGGTCGTCGAAGAAGGAGGGCCCGCTTGGGTCTTGGGGTAGCTGCGGTTTAGGGTTTAGGGTTTAGGGTTTAGGGTTTAGGGTTTAGGGTTTAGGGTTTAGGGTTTAGGGTTGAGGCCATAGGAACCTCTTATATTGACCCCGATAAAACCCCAGGGCCCATGCTTCAGAGCCCAAGGCCCAAGCCCCAAACCCTGAATCAAGGGACCATGGTTTGAACCATGAGCCCTTAGGACGGTCACTCGCCCTTGCTTATAGGGATCCGAAGTACGGGCCCTTAATATACTGTCAGTGTATATCAAGGGTTCTAGAAGAGGGCCCCTAGATTCAGGGCCCACACA